TTATGTAGGGTTTGTTTTTCTCCATATATATATTTTTAAGATTATCATTTGTAGTTAGGGTTGATTCGTTGTTTAGGGAGGCATGCCATATTAAACAGTTTACCTCATTGGATCACATCTATTTTCTCAAAACAGATTCCAGTTGCATCAGTAGGTTGTATTTCTGGGATGGCTTCGGGTTAGAAATGATGTGGAATTAAATCACAAACGGGACCAGATGCACGAATAAGTTGTGGATTTTGGTGATTTGAACAAAAATGCCCCAAAACGTGTTGTTTTTCTTCCTTGATGAGTATTTTTGAGTGCTTTTTGGCTCTGCTGTTCCTTTGGTCTACAGCTTGTGTCAGTGTTGAAGATCAGTCCCATCCGAGCACACAGGATCCCCCTGGAGTGTTGGGAGCTTGTTGGAGTGGTTCGGTGCTGGAGGGGCACACAGGATGGAGCTCAGTGGTGGGCTCTTCCCAGGCCTCCAGCCTGCGGGCCGGAAGAGTCGAGTCGTGGCTCACTGCTGTTCTGAATGGCCCCTGAGAGTCCAGAGTGATGGACAGTCTGGGGCTGCACACACAGGCTCTTTGTATCAGGGCCTTTTGGGCTCGTTCTTCCTTTTTTTTCCACACTTTATTTTTCACAGATGAGCAACTTTTTTTTCTAATTTCCCTGCATCTTTCCTCGTAATCATGATCTGGCGAATCTGTTATCTGCTGCCTCAAAAAGGCAGAAAAAACACTTTTTAATCTACTTTTATTATTTTGCATGCTGTCTTTTTCCTTTCAACCATGTTCTGTAACGAGCAGACGCAGAACACAGAGTTCCCCGAAGTCGCCGGAGGTCTGACCAACGAGATTTATTCGGAAACCGGCTGGAAGCATGTGAAAGTCATCAGAAGGCCTAATGTGATTTTCATTTATGGAGCTCAACTCGGAGCAAGATGAATATGCACATCATTTGTTTGCTTCATATTCATCTACAGAATCATGAAATCAGGAAATGGAAAAATGCAGGCAACAAAACAGTTTGTGCTCTCTTTAAAAATGTCTGATAAAATGTCTAATTTGCATTATTCTATTTAGTATGAGGACGATCCAGGAAGCAGAAGCTTCCATCCAAATAATGATGGGACTTAAGACTCACAAGCCATTTACCTCAAAAGAGCCGTTCAAAAGACTGAGACGGAATGTTCCGCCAATGTCCATGGGGGGGGGTCACTGGTAGACGAGATGAACGGTTCTCTACAAGTACTCGGCTCTCATCATTCACTTTGAAGAATCGTTCGAAAGGTTCGATTCATTCATAAACTTCACATCACCACATCCAGAACACGAGTGGATTAATTGTTGTAGTTTTTCCTGCAACAGTTTTTATGTTTAATAAATGATTTAGGGAAAAATCCTTTTTGGAGGGTTCTGCTGTTTGAAGATATGTTCAATCATCATGATGAGAAAACAGAAAATAATTGTTGCTTGTTGTCTAAGTACAATTATTTTTACCACATTTGGAACAAAAGTCAGTTTTTATTCATGTATTTGACAAGTTACGGAGAATTATGGTTTCCAAATTGGCTGATAGCCTGAAAATGAACGCCAAAAACTGGGGGTGAAATGTGCGATAATTGCTGGGATTTCATTATTTTTGAATGAAAACAATTCTGATGGTCTCCACAAACCGTCTGCTTGATTTTTCCATGGGAGTCAACAGTTTTTACACTGAAACCTTGACTTATTTACTGCTTGGTGCATCCTTAAAACCATTTAGCACCATGATAATTAATATTCTCTTATGTCCCTTAATATGCTCATAACAATAAACTCCTAACAAAACATGGAGACATTTGAGGGGATTAACCCTTACTGTTTACTTATGTTTAAACAGCCTTTCACAGTTTTGAACAGCAAAGAGAGTTTTCTTTAAGCCAGGGGTGGGGAACCCTGGTCCATCGAGGGCCACTATCCAGCATATTTTAGTTTCAACCCTGCATCATCACACCTGTGTAAGGTCATTCAGCAGGTGATTAACAAGCTTCTGCAGAGCTTGATGAGCTGCAGAACAGGTGAACCAACCACTGAATCAGAAGTGTTGGAGCAACGACATGCGGGATACCAGCCCTCGAGGACCAGGGTTCCCCACTCCTGCTTTAAGCTAACGTGCTGCTGGATCACAGCTTCCCGTCAACAACTAGCAGCTCTTTCTTTAAACGAACTATATTTACTTTACAGCTGGGCTCAATATCCTGTGGCGCTCTATGATCTGCCACCCATTGTCCTCTTCCTGACGCGTTTGTCAGAGAAATTCGGTCTCCAGTTTTAGAGCCTCTGCCTTGTGGGCGCCCTCAGACAGTTGTGGTCAACACGCTGCCATGGCAACGTCTATGCGCTCGCACCCCATGAGGCAGAGATGTTTTTATCTCCCAGAACTACACAAACAGCCAGGATGAGGCCTCTGACTCCAGAAGGATTGGCTCAGCAGCAGTATATCTGCTTTTATCTGTTTTAATTTCCTTCATCCTGCCAAAAAGTACCAACAGTAACAAACTTTTAAAACCCATGACTTGTGAAAGCTGAACAGATTCATGGTTTTGAACAAAGGATTTGTTTAAATGTTCTCCTAAAGCATAAAAAGTAGATAAAGAATGTTATTGAATGTGAAAATGGGAGGTTTGGTAACATTTTTACTGAATCTAAGCCAGATGTATATTTAGTATTAGAAACTTGAACATATGGTGGCATTTTTTGACAATTTTCTTGCTTGAGTTCATCGAAGATTGCAGGCGTTTGTTCATCCACAGCTCTTCAGGAAGACTGAGGTCTGGATTCTGACTTGAGTTGCATTCCTTTCTTTTCTAGCTCTTATTCTGTAGACGAGCGGATGATTATTAGTGTTCTGGTGTTTGCAGATGACCTCATGTTTGACGCAGAATACGTTGGTTCACAGTTGAGTTCATGATTGACTTGATGAGTGGAAGCTGACAAACTCAAATCATGACCCCTCCACCACCATGCAGGACTGGTGGTTTGAGGTGATGGTAGTAAATGCTGTGTTTTGGTTTGTGGGTCAAAAATGATCATGCTAACACATCTCCTTGATAAAATCTGTTCAAAGGACACTTGCAGAAAGATCAGAACAAAACATGGCATGCTCTTTTGAAGAAATAGAATATTTATTTTTGCAACCAAGTAATGGAAATGTTTGACTTGCAGTAAGTTTAATCCCTGTCTTGAATGTATTCCACATATTTTCCCCAATTTACCTGCAGCTTTTATCGAGGCTGTTAGTATTTTCCCAAAATGCTCATTTTTGATCCTGATCATTGAATCCAAAGAAAACACCAAAGCTGTGGGATTTTCCTCTTACATTTATGATCGTGATCCAAAAACAAAATCTCTCTTTTTAGCAACTTTAAACACTTCCACTACCATGTGACATGAGTCGGTGGTGTGAGACCGTGCACATAAACAGGCAGTGACCTGGTTGTCCTTTGACTCTGCAGCATCCTGTCAAGACACATGTGGATCTGATTGGAGGCGCAGTGTAGCTCGTTAGCTTGTGCCCAACAGACACTTCATTGTGGTGAATTGCTCCACCTTTGAAGGCTCACTTTGGATGAGACGAACCCATCTGGGTCACTTCGCCTCCCCCTCATGGCTAGCCACCCTAGATTTCCATTACAGCTTGGCAGACACCCACAGGTCTGACCAGCTGGACAGCCATTAGTGGCCTTTAAGTGGAGTGATGAATGGTCAAATGAAAGATAAAGGCTGTGTGGATTGTAAAAACCTCAGGGAGCCACTTCCGCTGGTTTGCATCGCAGATGTTTGCCATCATGCTCCATGGAGCGTACTTCCTTTCGAGACACTTGTCATGAAATACACCAGCTGATATTGATATGGGATTGCCTTCTAGCTTACCTGAACTTTTTCTTCTCTTTTGCACAGGTTGCTTTGAGTGCTGCATCAAGTGTTTAGGTGGAGTACCCTACGCATCGCTGGTTGCTACAATCCTCTGCTTCTCTGGCGTTGCCTTGTTCTGTGGGTGTGGTCATGTGGCTCTCACTGGCACCGAGAGCATCCTGGAAACCCACTTCTCCAAGGTCACAACTGACCATGCCATGCTCACCACTGTGTAAGTAACTACATGCACTGTACTCGTACTGCACGGCTGTGATTAAAGACCTGTCATCGTAAACTGATGAAAAAGAAAAGATCTTCGTAAACGCTTAAGTCGTATAGTACGATTTACTATTCTGGGAAACGCCCTGCCAGGTATTAATCAAGATAAAGACATCTCCAAACTTTAGATAACTCTTTTAAAAGAGGCTATTTTTAGCTGAAAATGATCCACAAGAGGAGTCCTAATATGGAGCTTTTTGCAGCAGGTACATTTGTCTAGACAAGAAAAGAAACGTGGCATCAGGCAGGGCTGCACACGTGTTTAATGTTAGTGTGGAGCCAAGCGTACTGTTTAATTTACGCTGTCCACAAGGTAGTCTGTCTCTTGGTGGAGGACTTCCAGAGACATACATCACCTGTTATCTCCACGTTTGGGCTTGCAGCCCCCTAAACTCAATCCCAACCATCTGTTCATCCTCAACAACCCAGCATACTCGTGTTTTCAGGCTTGCATGGAAAATAAAACGCTGCACGCAGCCGTTTTCCTCGGCAAACAGCGGGACGCCGTGCTCGCACCATTCTCCGTGTGTTTAATCAGAAACAGATTTACACGAATAACAAAGCCTAACCGTGACATTGCTCTTTAACAGAATACAGCTGATGCAGTATGTCATCTATGGCATTGCTTCGTTTTTCTTCCTGTATGGGATCATTCTGCTCGCTGAGGGCTTCTACACAACCAGCGCCGTCAAGGAGTTGCACAGCGAGTTCAAGACCACCATCTGTGGACGCTGCATCAGTGGAATGGTATGTTAACACAACCGCAATTATTTATTTTACACAACACATGCTTGAGAGGGGTTTTAAACCACGTTCCAAAACATAAAACCTCTTTCTTTAATGGAATCAGGTTATGATGATGCTTCTTTACATTTCTGTGATTCTCAGTTTGTGTTCCTGACATACATCCTGGGCGTGGCCTGGCTCGGTGTGTTCGGCTTCTCTGCGGTGCCCGTCTTCCTCTTCTATAACATGTGGTCTACCTGCAACGCCATGAAATCTCCGACGATCAACATCACAAACATCGACTCCATCTGCGTTGATGTGCGCCAGTACGGTAAGATAGCTGCGCTTTGTTCAAAGCTTCAAGATCCCGACCAGCCAAGAGTTCAGAATAAGGTTAACACCCAGGAGGCCTCTTTAACTTTTTGTTTGCCAGCTAAAACCCGTTAGAATCGTTTAGAAAGGCCAAAACACTTCAGATTATTCGGTAATGCACACCTGAAAGCAATTTGAAAGAGTTGAACATTTATTGGGATTTATTTAACTCTTACACACCTTTTGGCATCCACAAGCAGCCCAGTGTTGGACAGCTATGAGTATCTTGAAAGACATTTCTACAGCTCTTTTCACAAGTTGTTTGCTTCCTGCTCCAAAGATAAGAGTATCTTCGACTGGAATGTCCCATTGCAGCTTTAAAATGTCCATATTTGTTTTGCACTTTGATCTCAGAAGTTGTTTTCTCAGACTATCTCAAGTGTCACATGTTCTGTCGTCACTGGCCGAAAAGAGCTTTTTTGATTTTGTGAGTGCATCTTTAATTTCATTGGCTGCAGGAATCATCCCATGGAACGCCACACCAGGGAAGGCCTGTGGCGCTACGCTTGGTGACATCTGCAGCTCCAGTGATGTAAGAAGTTGTTTCTACTTGGATTACAGTAAAGGAATAATTCTAATGAATCATGATTGTTTTTTATTTATTTATTTTTTTTAGTTCTACCTGTCTTATCACCTGTACATCGTAGCCTGTGCTGGTGCAGGAGCCACAGTGATCGCTCTCGTAAGTTCCTCCTCACAATCCTCTCTCTAGTTCAGCTTTGCATGGTTTGTTTCAGCAGATCGTGTGTCAAGTGCTCCTCTGCTCACTCCACCGTGGTTTATGCAACAACAAAAAGTGATGAGTGAACCTTGTTTTTTATTGCTTAGATGCAAATGGCTGTTTGTATTTCAGGACTGGCGGTTCGGCGTGACTTCACTGATTAGATTTTAGAATCTGTTGTTTTGACATTTAAAGAGCAAGTCACCCCCTACAAGAAACTCTCTCCACTCCCACTTCATGTTTGAAAAATGCAACATATGCTGTTGCCTGGCAGACCGAGAGGGCGGAGCCACTAACAAATACACACAAACAGGCTCACAAAAGCATTGTGACATCATAATGTACCAGCTAATGTCATAGTGTACCTCTTAGCCATTAGCAGTGGCAGATTTAAATTCAAATTCAGTGCAGAGTTTTTACCTGACGATGGCACAGCACTGACAGTTTTAGGCAGAATATTAAAATTTTAACAAAGATGCACTAAAGTGCCAAATTATTGACTACACATGTCTATGGCACGATTAGACACTCATTTATATAGTTTATCAGCACAAAAAAGGTTGATTTGGGGGTGACTTGCACTTTAAACCATAATTTCACAGGCAGGACCGTTATGCAATAGGAGTTAATGATGTTTTAACATTTAACAGCTGAAAAAAAAACCATGTATTTTAGGCATGGGCCGGTGTGACACTGAATTAGAGCAAAAATACTACGGTTTAACAGTGTTGAACAAAACAATGTACCGCACGATGATCTATTTTAGATAATAAAAAATGTTGCTACTTCTGCTATCACTGCCATAGCCATCATAGCTCTTAGTATCAAAGGCTGCACATAATTACCTATATTATTATTACTTAGAGCTATTCACAGTAGACATTGAGACATTTTAGGTTAAAGTTGCATTATGTAAGAATGACTTCCTGTAGTCAAATTTGGTTACTGGAACCCATTTTTAAAACCAACTCATTCTCACACCCAAAGCGGCTAAAACTGACACGGGGTGACCAAGAGTTGGTTTCCGACGCGTTGGGGCTCCCAACGCGCTGTGCCAGAGTGTCGCTTTCCAACGCCTGCGATAAAATGGAGATTTCACCGAATTGTGACCTTTACCCTCTTGCAATGTAACCTTCCCCTTCCCCTCACCCCCAGCCAGACCAACCCACTTGCGCATGCAAAACTTTGTTTCTACTTGCATTGTCCGCCTCAAACACGGTTAACGAGAAGTTTAGAACGAGAAACGGGGATAAGGTTAGGATGGGGGTGAGGTGAAGGTTAAATAGCAAGAGGTTAGAGGTTAAATGTCGGTGAAATGTGTGTTTTCCCGCGGGCTTTGGAAACTGACGCTCTGGCACAGCGCGACGCGTCGGAAACAAACGCTTGGTCACCCTTCGTCAGTTTTAGCCGCTTTGGGTGTGAGAATGTGTTGTTAACGCACCCTAATCACAAATTCTCACTTCCGTGAGTTTGATGGCTTTTGCCAGCCACGGATCAGCGCCAGAAGATTCCAGATGATGAGCGAAGACGAGTAATGCCTTGTAAATTGATAAGTAGATAAATCATTTCACCGTAAATCGAGTTGTTGGTAATCAAAAAAGTAGCTTGAGATTTGTTCAGAGCTGAATATTTGCTTCTAATTCACCGTTAGCATTGTTAGCTCAACCATAGCCTCTAGCCTTCTTTACACGATAGTAGATCAAAATAAAAGATGTTGTGGCTTCTTAGGGCTGCAGGGTCGTTCCTGTTACTGGTTTAGGACCTTTAGAAAAAGCTGTTGCATTCAGACTCCGTAAGAACGTGGGGACACAGATTGTTAAAAGACTACGTCGCTCTTTGGCTTTTTTCAAAAAAGACCACTGGCAACCCCCCGGCCGGCTGAGAAGGAAATCTCTTTCAATTCAACCTTCCTTCCAACGTGATCAAGACATTAGGCTGCTTCGTGATCATTTCGTTGTAAAATTATTACATATTGTACCTTTAACTAAGTTAAAGCACAGCTTTATTGATAAAGGGAGTCCTTGTTCAAGTGAAAAAGTCTGCTGCGAATCTGGCCTTTAAATGTTGTTGCACCGGTAAACATGGTTTCAATAAAAAATAGAATGAATGTAAAAAATCCAAAGGAAAATATATTCAGGTACAACCTTGTATGAAACGTTTCTGGAAATAAAGTCGTCTTTTTTTTTTTTTTACACTTTTCATTACAAATCCCTTCATAAAACCAGTGGTAGATGTGAAAGGTGACCAACAGCTGATTTGTGTAGAAACATGAAAATTATGAAAAATGGAGATACAAGTTTATAGCCTGATGGCGACAATATTAATGTAAAGTGATGCTGGATTTCTGACTAGTTTATTTAGCAATGAACTGATTCTGGTTTTTAGCACAAACACTGATTTTTGATTCATGCTCAGATTTGCCAAATTTTTCACAAAAATATAGTTTATTTAGATGCATTTTCTTATTTTTGGAAATATTGAGATTGGCCATTTCGCATTACCAGCTGAATTTTGGTCCATCTCTATAATTATCTAGGTTCTTGGCTTCCATAGCGCATTGTGCAGCAGGGTGTTTATTTCACTGATGGCCATGTAGACTCTCACAGTTAGCTGCAAATATTTTAGTTTAAATCTAATGTTATCTGAAAAATTGAGTGTCAGGTAACCAAGCCAAAAAGAAGACTTTTTTTCATTATCGTCATCCTGCTGTCGTTCACAGCTGGCAGAAGCAGACGCTCCTCTCTGAAGCATTCAGCCAACGAAAACATTAGACTAGCATCGGAATAAAAAAACACCGTTATAACTTTTAAAAACCACAGTATTTGTTAAAGACGGCCCATGCCTAGACCTTTTACTAACGTGTGTTTATGTCAGTGACGAGGACACGCCAACAGCATGTGCTCTTACCGCCTTTTCTGTTCTCTTCCACCAGCTGATCTACATGATGGCTACCACTTATAACTTTGCTGTTTTGAAGTTTAAGAGTCGGGAAGACTGCTGCACTAAGTTCTAAACTGGTTTCAGAGCATGGTTCCACATTTGACAGTGCTGATTGACAACAAACTAAAACAAAAAAGGACAAAAAAAATAGAGCATCTCTCAATTAGTGTTCACGTGACTTGTAAATAGCTGATTGCACGTTTCTTTTCTCACCTGGGATCCCGAGATTTAGCTTGTCTTCTCAGAGTGGGGTGTGCCTTAGCAGACTGATTTACAGAGAAATCCACAATGAAGTTATTTATGTTTGTTTGGCCTGCACAAAGGCACTGACCGCACGAGTAATTCAGGAAAGGAAAAACTGTGTTTAGCCTCTGCCTTGCGTTGGCTTCGCTAGCATCTGGTGATTTCAGTCAGAGCTAGAATGTTTAGGCTCAAACTGCAGCTAGACAGATGTACATCCCTCTGAGGTTAATCACTGTGAACATCTAATGATAAAATGTTGAAGATGTTCTCTGATTACCAGTTTTTGTCACCAGATTAGCCTTATTGGTGAGGATGGTTTAAGTATAATACTGTAAAAAGTAGCTAAATTGGTAGAGTCCTTTTGTGTTACTTTGTTTTATGCCATTTGGTGCCTACCCACAAACCCTGAAGACCTTCAGTATTAAAATTTCCTCACAAAATACTCTAAATGAAGCTGAAAAGCATCCACTGTATTATAATGATGAGTACTGTGTTTTTTTCATGTGTTATAGATTTTTAAATAACACCTTTCTTCAGTAGCAACACAGCTTAGGCCAGTACAAGTGCTAAACTTCTGCTTGAGACTCATTTGAATTAAAAAAGCAAAAATAAATGCATTTTTAGAGTAGCATAAATGCCTTTATTATTTTTTCTATGGGAGCTGATGCTGTTATCGCCTTGGCAACGAAGACTTTGTTTCATACATTTTCAATAATTCTTTCTCAAAGTGCCATAAAGAGGCAGTTGTTACTTTTAACACAGCCTGCATGCTTACAGCCGTCAGGATTATTTCATCTGTTAATAGCTACTTATAATACAGATTTCATATATTTAATTTTCTTGAAGTTTTACAGGTCTGTAGCTTTTACTTTCTATATAAAATAAACAATCTTTGTTTACAAAATTATCCTTTTTTGTGGTGTTTTTTTTTCTTTAGAAGCCTATAGAATTGTGTGGTAACGGTCAGGAATTCCTCAGATTCTCATGCTTTGCACCAACTTTCTTTCACAGCTTGCATGCATCATCGCTGACTTATTCCCATTACTCATGTCCTCTCTATAACACCTCTTTAATTCTCTGCGTAGCGACTTAGAACCTCCTGTGATGTTTCATTATATTTATTTACCTGATTATATATTGAAAAATCTTAACCGTATGTTTGTCTGTGATTTACTGTAGCTGATTCCGGTAGCTTGCTTTGCATCTCTGACATGCTCACGGGCCATCCACCTCACCCTTCTCTTCCAGATCCACTTCCTCATGATTCTCGCAGCAAACTGGGCGTACCTTAAGGATGCCAGTCAAATGCATGCCTACCAAGACATCAAAATGAAGGAAGAGCGGGAGCTGCGGGACATCACCTCACACTCAAAGGAATGCCTCAATTCCTACACATAAAGGATGATACACACTGAAGACCAACACACACACACACACACACACACACATACACATAGGGACATGCATACACTGTGGACTCTGCTAAAATAACCTGCCTACTGCATACACTGTGCAGAACTAACCCAACTCCTAACAAACTAATGCACAAGTGCTGCTTCCTGCACCAGCTTTCACCACTGCTAAATTAACATTTTCTGTTTTGTAGAGAAACGTGACTTTTGATATTCATGCTGTTACTGTTTTGCTTTTCTAACCCTTTCTATAACCAGTTTGCTGGTGAATGCTGAGATGTTGCACTATGCTTATTCAGTGTAGTCTGTTTTGCTTTGTCTTTGTTTCTGATTGTCTGTGGTCAGGTTTCAACCAGAGGCCATTTTCTCTAATAAAAATGCAAAAGGAAGCCCTTACATCTAATCCTAGTTGGTTTGTCTCAGTCTGCTGACACAAGACTAATGCGATTATGTTGTATTTTTACATAAAACATTTAGAGCAGTGTTTTGTGCAAAAAAATTGCTTCATGATTGGCCTCAGTTTGGAGAAATATAGATTGTTATACAGGACTGATGAGCTAATGGCTAGTTTGATTTTTTATGTTTTGCTCTTTTGAAAATGGATGTCATAAATCTCATAGGTCTTTGTTTTTTTCAAAAATGTAGCACTTCAGTGCATCTGCAAAATGGGAGTGTAAATGTTTCCACAATGTTGAGTAAAAATATTTAATGTAGGTGATTTGAGCAGTTTCAAGCTAGCAGTAACAGTCTTGAGCTCAGACTAGCAGTTAGCTCATCAGTCTTGAAGGGCTTAAAGCTGCAACGACAAATCTGAAAAACAAGCTTTTAAACACAAACATGGCCAATGGGACTAGCGAGAGTTCCATGACCATCATCCTTAGATTACATCCATCTGAACATGCGTTGCCAAGGAAACGACATGGTGCTAAACACCAGTTGCAGTTTTCTAGATCCAAACGTCTTTTGTTGTCCATGACTTAATTGTGCTTTTCTTTTTGGGACTCTGGTAGTTTGCTCCAAGATAAATGACCCGCACTTGTATAGCGCCTCTCAGAGTAAGGACTCCAAAGCGCTTTACACTAGTGTATCATTCATCCATTCACACACTGATGTGTGGTAGTTTGAAGTGGTAGAAGCTGGCTGTTCCTCCTCCACTGATAATATTGAACCTCTCATACCAGTGGTATTCTGTTGTTAAATGCGGGAGTGGAATGAAAGGGGGACCCAGGTAAATACCGAAGTGCGGTGGTTTGGTGAAAAAGAACACCAGATGGTCCAATTGTTGGCTTCGGACCGGTTTTTAGACGGTTTTATTTTCTTTTAAATCTCCACAATATATTTATAGCTATATTATATAAACATTAAGAGGCATGAAAAATATTTTAAGCTAGCTTGTTTTGCAGGTTTGCCATTGTAGCTTAATCTGTTTCTCAGAACTTGTTCAGGAAGTGATCTACAGTCAGTTAGATGGAAATTATTTTACTTTCACACAAAAACATTGTTGAAAATGGCAGAAAGATTAATCATTACAAATTGGTTAAAAATGTAACTGTTAAGCTAATATTAGTGTTTAATTGGTTTCAGACTATTTTTATTGTACAGCTAATGAAATTAAAACATTAATGGCCTACATTAACTCTACCTCAGGTTTGCATTAGAACTTAAGGACAAGGTCTCTCTCTCTCTCTCTCTCTCTCACACACACACACACACTTTATTCTTGCAAAACAATATAAACTTCTCAAAAAAAATTTCCTTAAATCTGTCACAGCTTCCTAGGAAGATTAAGACTACAGTATCTGATGCTCTTCCATTTTTATTTTAGTGAGAAAGGGGAAAAAAGGGTGTGTGACAGCTTTCCTGTGAAAAGAAGCTGAAGATGGATTGTTACTGTAAATAACAATTTTGGTATTGTAATATGTGTATTTCTATGAAAATTTAGATTCCTTTCAAAGAATACATAATCATGTCCCGTTGCTTTTGACACTAGTTTTAGTTTGAAGCCGTGTAAATACAAATTCTAGCAATTTAAAGCTACTTATTCCTGATTTATTTAAATAGCTTTTGTTTCATTATTTGTTTTTTTACATTATTACTCAGTATTCACTATTTCTGTTATTTGGGTTACATGTACAGTTGTAGGGAGTGTTTGACCCTTTTCTTTAAAAAATAACTGAATTAGGATGAATAACTTTTATATAGCTAGTAGTTATCAGTGTTTGTAATCGAGTTTTTAAAAGCATTTGTAGTTTTTTCTATGATGTAAAGGGCTTCCTCTTGATTTCCAGGTGACGTTTATAACAACCTCAAGAATCAGTGATTTTAAACTTTCTATGTAGCCAAAGTCTTAAGTCCCAGTGAGGTTTGATGAGATAAATACAACATTTCCACTTTTTAATGTGGGACAGGCATTCAGGGGCAGAATTACAGACATGCATGAAGATTGTGTCGTCTAGGTATTTTTTTGCCTTTTGAATGAACCAAAAAGGAAACGCTGTCCATCAATCACCAGGAAGACGACCAACAACAACCATGTCTGGCTGGAAACACTTTCACGCAACTGTACTGTCATGATTACTTTTATTCTTTTTTTTTTTTATAAATGAAAAACAAAAACTGACTTTTTGTAAAGTGTGTTTATTTAACATTTGATTTAGCAAAAGCAGATTTCAGCTCGCGACTCGAGGACAACCAGCTCACCAGAAATCATCCTCGTCATCTTTAAGTGAACACGCAGCAACGCTGGGAAAAAAAAAAAACAGATTTAATAAACAGAACCCTCGAGACAGAAATAGAAAGGCATTTTTAAATCAACGCGATGTAATTCCAGAGCAAATAACATGATTAAAAAGATGCCAGAGATGAAAACCACATTAGCTCTTATTGTGAAAGGGTTTTGTTCATTAAACTCTCCCACAGAAACGGAGCAGCTGTTGAAAGTCTCACCTTTGTTCTATTTGCTCAGATAAACTCTTCTCCTCTGGGCTCGTTTGCCCTGATTCCTGTCTGACAGGACTCTTCAAAGCAAAACAAAAGGACAAATATTCAGATTAAAGATTCTCATAAAAGCTTCCAGTAAACAAGGACACAACTCGCCTGCTTCTGCTCTGCCCGGAGGACCATCATGTATTTCTCCATGGGATTTTCTCCTTTTGACTCCTCCTCCTGCTCCTCCTCCTCTTTCTTCACCTTTGTTTCTTCCTCCCCTTCTAGTTGCTCCTCTTGCTGTGAAAGCTGGTCAGACAGAGTGTTTATTTCAGCTAATTAACGTAATTACTAGAGATTTTTATTTTGGGAAGGATAATTGCTACCATCTCTAATTGTTCAAGTTCTCGAAGCTCTCTCTCTTTAGCTTCTTCCCGCTCCCTCTGCCGCCGTTCCTCTCTTTCTTTTCGCTCTCTTTCCCACTTTTGCTCCCCGTCTTCCTCCTCTTCTGTTCTGGCAGAATGACCTGAAGCCTGAGGAACTTCTGGAAACGCGTCACCTGAGTTTGTTCATTTTTTATTTCAGGTACAGCAAAAATGTCTCGTAAGTGTAAAAAATAGACTGGTACAGAAAGAAAGATGACATTCAGTTGTTGTAATCTGGAGTTAACAGTGATCATGGGTCGATGCCGGTAGGACTGACGGCTCACCCGCTTGACCGTGCGCGTCTGCTGGGTCTCCTGGGAGGTCCTGAGGGTGGGGGCTGGAGGGACCATCAGGGGCCTCCTCGGGGAGAGGGACAGCCGTGTCCAGGAGAAGCTTTGGAATGTGTCCGGGCTCTGGAGGGAGACATGCACAAAGAGACCTTTTATCCTCGGCTATAATGAAGCAGAGCCGGAGGACCAGAGCAGAATACATAATCAGCTGTCCTTCATCTTCACCATTGAGCAGGGCCTGCTGAAGGGACACATTTAAAAGATAAAACTCCAAAAACTAAACATGCAACTAAATTATTTTACAAATATCAATAAAACAAAGATAAACTGTAAGATTGTGCATGCAAATTCAGCGTTTTAGCACCACTTGGAGCTTTGCATGGTAGTCAAACTTTAATGCAGTCCAAGTATTTGGTTTAGCAGCTGCAGTAAAATAAATTTTTAATGCAAAAAAAAAAAAACAAATCCATCCAAATATTTTAAATAACGGACATTACAGGTTGGAGTTGAAAACTTGAAAAGGTTTTCCTGACAGGAAAAACTATAAAAGCTAAAAAGAAGAAAGAAGAGCATACCAACACCTGCTACTGAATACCTGAATCAGTTCCTGTGAGATCTTCCACGTTTATCTTCTCAGGCTGAGGAGACGACTCTGAGCTGGGTGGACTGAGAGAGATAGGAGCAAACCTGAAGGCATCAATATTAAACACCTCGAAGTCAGAATGTAAAATACATGCTGCAGTGTCCCTTAAGAAGTCTTAACAGATGGTACCTGGGCTGCTCTCGAGCTGTGCTCTTGAGCTGAGGACTGTGAGGAGGACTGAGATCAGCAGGAAAGTCACCTGTGACCCCCGCCTTGCAGAGGGGGGCACCAGAAAGAAGTCTGTCGGACAACGGCGGAGGAAAAACCACCGGAGACACGATTTCCTCTAATAAAAAAAAAAAAGAATAGTAGCTGTAGGAAACAACGTGAAACAAGAAAAATAAAGATTTTTTTTATGGAACACATGTACCTTCTGAGTTTTCTTCCCGAAGCTTCCTGGAAGAAGAGCCTTCATCTCTTGGAAGTACAGATTCCGCCAACAAATGAGGCATGAGGTCAGTGAATGCTGTCTTTAGGGGCAGAGCATTGTCTTCTGAAACAGTAACTCCAAGATGAGCCGGGGGGAAAAGGCGTTTGGCGTCATGAGAAACCAGACTTGGTGTCTGAACACGTTGAGGAGAAACAGTTTTTAGTGAAGACTTTGGTTTGTGTGTTGGGAGGACGTGAGAGTCCTGTTTTCTAAGAGGAAAGCCGGGAGACTGTGAGTGACACCAGTGTTGAAGGGAAACTGGTTTTGGTGGAAGCATTTGTGAGACTGTGGAGTACGCTGCCCTCTGCTGGTTGCTCCGATAAGCTTCCTCCACCCTGTCCGCCTCCTTTTGCAGCTCCTGGATCCGGGCCTTGGCTTCTGCCAGGTCAGAGTCGGGGGAATCGACCTGAGGAGGCAGGTATCCTCTCGACGGCCCACCTGCTTCACAAACATCATCAGAACCCACCCCGGTCCTCGGCTGAGCTCTGTCCACTCGGGTGTTGTGAGGAAGCAGCACAGAGCGATCAACAAGAAGGGGCTTGGGGTGACGCAGCACTTCATTTTCAAGAGCTGTCACCATCGATTCAATCGCAAAGGAAACAGAAAGGGGTGTTGAACACTAATAGAGAAGAACCATCACACCTAAAAAGCATGCAGCTACATCTTTCTTTCCCACTTTTTACTAATTCAATTTCTATATTAAAGGGACTTTACGGAGTTTTGAATTTTTATGCTCGCGATTGCCCCCTCAGGCCAAAAGCGTAACAGCAGCTTCAATAGTAGGCTCGTACACGACGTGCGCATGCTGTACGTGCACACTCCTTAACGAAAATAACAGTTGAGACAGTCCCTTGTGTGTGTGTGTGTGTGTGTGTGTGTGTGGCCCGGAGGACAGGAGAACGTGCAGCTAATTAATTAAATAATTTGGTTCTGTACCTTTCTCTTCAGCACAGCCGACAAAGGTTTAAGATGGGTCAGTCCTCCTGCATGCTCAGATCATTCCCTTCCCTTGCTTGAAATTTTTTTCCAAAAAGGACGTTGAACCCACATATTTTTTTATCTGTGAATTCAATGCCGTTCGGCGAGTCTCAAATAAAAATTTGGGCATCTTACTGTAAAAAAATATACCATTAATGTAAAAAAGAAACTCTAAAACAAACATGTTCACATACTGAATCGAACCCTTCTGCGCGAAAGCCCGACGTCTTACTAGGCGAGCTAAAGCGCCAGAGATGTGCATTGTATCTGTAGCATTTATATCCTTGATGACAGCTGAAACAACGTTCAAAGAACGGTTCGGACGGTTATGCCTGAGCGTGAACGCGCATGAAGCAGCCTGCTCGACCCGAGCAGCTCTCTTTTTCTGTGATTTTACAGAAAAATAAGCAATCACAGTAAAAATGCCAGGGCTCATTCTACAGGACCAGGGCATTGCAGGAGAATGTATGAAGAAGACATTTATTATTTCTATACATGTTTGGGCTGTCAAACTTCCATAATGCCCCTTTAATAATAAAAGTATTTTCATTATAACTTTTAGAACTAAAACTAGTCCAACTCCAAGTGACTGCCCCAAATACCTCCTGCTGAACATGCAGGCGGCACCAACCTTGTTGAGTTTGTCGAAGCTGCGCCTTCACGTCATCGATGTATTTAGTCATCCACTGTGACCTCTCCTCGCCCTCTAAGAGCTGAGCCTTGAGCTGAGCACATCGATCCACCTGCAGCAGAGTGTGGATTCTGAATGAGACGTTTTGCACGTAAATGAAAGGACACACTTCATATGACAACAAAAATGCATAAATAAACCCCCAGGTCATATGTGATGTGATGGGACTGACCTCGCTCTGCAGCTGCATCTGCAGCAGCTGTTTCTGATTGTTGAAGTCTTCCTCGTCCACTCGGCGAGCGTTCTGCAGCCTCTGGAGCTCCTTCTGCAAGGCCAGCTGGGCTTCAGATGGTCGGATTATTTCTAGGTAAATAAAGATGCTAATGGAGTCAGCCGTAGCTTATTTAAACCAAAATGCTGTTCTGATGGGACAAAAAGGGTCTTTTATTCAGGCTCAGAACCATTATTTGATTCCAATGGGTTTTCTTTATTTACATGGCACGAGTCACACAAAGGCGAGGTGCAAAAAACTGAAAATATACAATCAAAAATCTCAATAGTTGGATGAACACAATGTAATCATGGCACCCATTTCTACGTAATTTAACCAAGTACAATAACCCAGTTTTGACCACGTCAAACCAACACATTTGGCATTTGGTGGTTCAGTTTAATCAGATTACATCGGATCAATGTAGTATCCGTACATTGAGTCAAAATGATTCATTTAAGTTTGTAGAGTGAAAACATTCAAATAAGACAAGATGGAACAAATGTCCGTTAACATCGGCCAGGTTTTATTTATCGGACCGATACGATATGTTAAAAAATGACTAACATCGGCCGATAACGATATTGATGCCGATATAGTGTCCATCTCTAATTTTAAAACCAGAAATAAATATTTCAACACTCAAGTCTAGAATGTTGCCAAGTTTTCATTTTTAAACTCAAAGAAAATTTAAATAACTAAATGTCTTACCAAATATTACAAAAGCACATTTTGTGACAAAACTAGATGATATATTTTTATAATAGAGAAGATCACTCAGCTTCAGTGGAACCTCCAGCTTTTCAAACTCATCCATGGTTGTGTTGAACAACTAAACCAGTGATTCCCAAACTTTTCAGCGTCAGGCCCCAAAAATACAGATTGTTGAGTCATGTGACCCCAGACGGTTGTGATTTTAAAATACGACAATGGCATAAAGAAAAAGGCTTCAGTTCATATTCACTTATATACATTTATGACCATTTGATTGAGTTTTTCTCACAATCACGTGAGAAATTTAGCTTTAGCAGATTCTGGAAAGCATCCCAAGTAGGGTCTGGACCCAAACTTTGGGAACCACACGTCTAACGGACCTGATTCTCTTCATCCCAGCGTCTAATTACATTTTTGTTTGATTATTCAGTAAAAGCAGCCTTCTGTCTCTGTTCACATTCACTTCTCATCCTCTTTCCCGGAAGCTGAGGCAGAGGCACGAATGCTTCACAGAACAATGAATCCCACACTGGATCCTGCTGAAAACAACTCTGGAACTGGAGTTTTCACCACATTCACAGGATGCGTGTGAGCACCAGACTTGTAACAAGTCTGATTAAACGTGTGTGTATTAATTAGAGATGGTACAGTTTCTCTTCACCTGCACGGAGCTGCCGGCTCTCCTCTTGGGCTCCCTCCAGCTGCTGCTTCAGCAGCTCCACCTGTCCCTGCAGCTCGGCCCTCTCTCTCTTCAAGCTAAGGTAGTCACCCGTGCTCTCCAGTCTTTCCTTCAACACGTTATTCTGCTGAGTCAGCAGGGAAATCTGTTGCTCTGCTGTTTCTAACTCCATCTGGGAAAAGAAAGGGTAAAAATACCACGAGACAGAAATAGAAGACAATATAATTATGGAGAATTAAAAAAAAGAATTTGATTTGAAAATAAAATCGATTCAGAAATAAGGACATGACCAGTGTTGACAGAATCAGGTCGGGGTTTTTACCTGTCGTCGTTTTAGCTCTGAACGGGCTTTGTCGTGCTCCGCTAAGGTGGCGTTAATCACAGCGGACTCCTTCTGGATTCGAGCAGCTTCCTCTGGAAAACAAAACAATGATAAGAATGAAAAAAGAAGCAGATGAGTCATGAATCTTACACAAAACTAAAATACTTACCTTTGTTTCTGTTCTCGCTCTCTGTGAGACTTTCTGTTCTTTTAATAAATTCCTCCTTCAACTCCAGCTGATACCTAACACAAAAACCAGCGTTTCAAATGAATGATCTTTTTTGAGTTGATAAATAAATAAATAAATAAATAAATAAATAAATAAAGACTTAAGTTCAATAACCTGGCGAGTTCGTTCTTCAGCTTCTGGTCATACGTGTCCTCCATAGTCTTCACAGCCAGTTCTCGCCTCCTCAGCAGCTCTTCAGTAGTTTGGACCTTCTCTGCTTGAGTTTGACAGGTCCTGGTTTCATGAAAATAAAGATATGCAGAACAAATATAAAAAGGTAAGAAAATGAATTAAATAAAGATGATTAAAAATAATCTTACTGTTCGAAAGCCTCCATTCTCCTCCTCAGCTCGTTCTCTCTGTTATGCACAGACTCGATGTCTTTCAGCACCGCCTGCCTCTGCAGGTAGATATTTTTTTCTTCAATCTAACAAAAAAAGATGAAATTTTCAATCAATCAATGCTAAAAATCCCACTAAAAAGTAACTTTTTAGGACTCATCCTTGACAGCACTCTTTCATTTCAATCCCACATCAGTAACATCACTCGGTCTGCCTACTTTCACCTGCGCAATCGCCTTCGCCCCTCTTTCACCCCCCACTCTGCTTCCAAACTTGTTCACAGCCTCGTCACCTCAAGAATCAACTACTGCAATTCACTCCTCTTTGTTTTACCACAAAAGTCCATCAATAAGCTCCAACTGGTCCAGAACTCTGCTGCACGCATCATTTCTAAACCCCTGTGAGTCACCATATCAGCCCTGTCCTGCAACAGCTTCACTGGCTTCCTGTGAAACTACGCATAGATTTCAAAATCCTTCTCCTCACATTTAAAGCTATCCATAACCCCCCCCCCCCCCCCATACCTGTCTGACCTCATTCACATTATCTCTCCCATCTGTTCCCTCAGATCATCATCCTCTGTCACTCTCTCTGTCCCACCTTTCCGTCTCAGCTCTATGGGGAGCAGAGCCCTCAGCAGCTCTACTCCCCGTCTCTGGAATTCTCTCCCTCAACCATCCATAACTCCGACCCGCTCTCCTCCTTTAAATCTGGACTCACAATCCACCTGTTTCAGACTGCTTACTGCTAGTGTCACCTTTTCCATCTTCATTGATTTCATTATCTAGTTTGTATTTTTAAGGCTTCTGTGTGTGATTTTTGCTATTTTTAACTCGGATTCTTTGTTGCTATTTTACTGCTGTAAAGTGTCCTTGAGTCCCTTGAAAGGCGCTTTGAAATAAATGCCTTATTATTACTTTTTATTATTATTATTAGGGGTGTAAGAAAATATCGTTATGGCAATATATCGTGATATTTTTTCCAGCAATATTATATTGATATTCAAAAGCCGTGTATCTAATTTTTGAAAGAATTTACATGCAAACATTTGTGCATTTTCTTTTCGTTTTGTGTAATTCAATCGCCACCCGCTAGTTGGCAACGGGTTTTGTTTCCACCATTGAAATGTAAATCCCTCCATCATGGTTCAGATACCTCATTTTAAACATGTTACGTATCAGTTTGGACTGTTTGTTGAACACTCTTACAATAAATTCAGTAAAAAAAAATAGCTTGTAACGTCTGACTGAATGTATTGCAATATATCACGATGTATCGTATCGTCTCCCCTGTATCGTGATATGTATCATATCGCCAGAATTTCAACAATACACATCCCTGATTATTATTATTACTCATGATACAAGGAGTTTGTCAAATTAGGTAAACAACCTTGGAACACCTCAAGAAGTATCAGCATATATTTTTTACAGGCCATTCTTTGGATGTTTTATTATGTTACTAAAGAGGGATGACGTGTGAGGAGAAATTAAAGCAGCACTAAAGAGTTTTTAATACTTAACTCATTTACTGCCATTGACAACAAAAGTCGTCGTTTGCATTTCTTTTTTTTTACTGGGTGGGCGTCGGAACGAGCCCCCGCAGCGTGGGAACAAACATCAAGGCTCTAAAGCTGAATTTCATCCGCATACGTCACATGTCACGTGATCAGGAAGCAGAAAATCCATGTGTTAGAACAACGTTTTCGGCCGCTGCTGTGAAAAAAGTGAGGCGCAAAGCTTCTGTCGATCACAATTCAACAACGGATTATGAAAGAACGGATAACGCTCGAAACACGCGGATTCTGAGCTACTACAGCAATCGATTTCCCTCTGGGATTAATAAAGTATTTTTGAATTGAACTGAACTGAATTCTTCCTGATGTAAGAAGTGAGCCCACTCTTTGTTTTGGTAGTTTTGGCGTTGACATCATCATATAGCACAATGTTTTGACTCTTCAAAAAACAGAAAAAAAAAAAACCACAGAAAAACACTGGCAACGTGAGGCTTTTCCGATCAGGAAACGGCTGGCAGTTAACGAGTTAAACTATTGCTTTCAAACTGGTTTCAGTCGTGAACCAGAGTGAACATCGGCATGGCCCACATCAGTTTGAGCAAGCTAAAGGTTACGAAATCACGGACTGATGGTGACCTGGCTTTGTTGATACTGGACTTGTAAGTTATATATTTTTTGTCCAACAGCGTGGACCTTTTTGCTTTGTGGCTTATTTTAGTAGTTATTAGCTCGTGTTAGCATTAGCTCATTAGCACTAGCTAAAGCAGCCAGGGTTATTTACAACACTTGTAATTCTGTTTTCAACCAGTAGGAGGGAGGATTAGGAAAATTTATTTAGTGATGCTAGGTAGAAAACTCAAATGAGGGGTGTTAAGTGACCCTGCACACAACTGCTCTTTGTTAAAAGCCAAACACATTAAAACCATTTTGTTTAACCCCCCCAAACCCAAAAGTCTTAAATGTTAGCAATATTGTATTTATTTTCATGTAAGCACTGATATAATCAGAACATTTAAAAACATTTAAGAATTGTTTAGTTTTAACATAAAATCAGAATTTTTCTGTTGTTTATTTTGCTTTGTTTCTGACTTGGAAATTATATTTAACCAGAAAATCAAGTATCTGAAGTATTTTAATGACACTTTTTGAGGTCTATTCATGATGCTTTTGTTTTAATAAATGAAAACATGATGATGCTGTATGTTTTGCAAGAAACACAAAGCACTGCAGTAAGCAGTGCAATGATAAAAAGTGTATGAAAATAGGAAAAACGTTTTCCAAGCAAACAAACGTCCCTAAATAATAGCAAATTTTCACCTCTTGCTGTTTTTGCAGCCGATCAATCGCATTTTTCTCTCTCTCCATCAGCACCGTTGTCTTCATTTCATAATTCCTCTCCAGTTCTTGCTTCAGACGATCAAATTCTTTATGAAACTTTGATTTTTCTTCCATTCTCACCTTAGCAATCTCCACTTCTTTAAAATGCTGCAGCTAATACAAGAAAGAAAACATTAAAGTAGATTAACACAACACAAACATCTGATGATTAATCCTCATTACAGGAGTTTGTGAGCACAAACCTTTGTGTTCATTTCTGCTTCCATCTGTGCTTCTGTCTCTTTTCTATATGCAGCCAGTTTTGATTGAAAGGGAAAGATTCTGTCATCACTGAAACTAACGCTCTCATATTCCTTATCGATCATTTTCATCTTTTCGACTGAGTGCAAAGAAAACGAGGAAAGTAAAATTTATTTGCTTCAGGCTACAAGATAGAAATCAAAACAGCGTAATTTCAAACAGCAGTCCTTCATACCAAGAGACTCTCCGTAACTCGATAAGCTGGTTGTCTGAGTTTCCACATCATGACAGAGGCTGGGATGGTAATCATTTGTCAGATGTTTTAAAAGGCTGAACAGAAATCCTGCAGGACATAACCACAATATCAAAATCAAAACAAAACTATCACTTTTATAAAGAAAGTATATTAAAACATACCTTTATCATTGATTTCTGTATTTACCTAGCAAAAAATATAAATATATATTTTATTAAAATTTTGCTCAATTTAGATTAGAATTTACTGGCCCTGTAGAGCAGGTGACATTATTCACCATGGAGGAGTAGTGGGGTGATGCAGGGTGGATTTTAAGAATCTGAAGAAGGCCGTCTCTCTTTAAAATCTGTACAAAATAAACATAAACAAACACCTGTATCTGTGTTTATGTATTTAGTAGATCAACAAACACTATTCAGCCAATCCTTGGTGGCAGTGAGGCAGCATAATGAATAATAAAAATAATAATAATATCATAATAATAATAATAAATGTGTATCTACAGGGAATATATTTAAACTTCGTAAGGGGACATAAATAAAGTCACACACCTTGTCCTTACTTAACCCACATTCAGGGTAGAACACAGAAAGAGTGTATTCATATCCTGACGCAACGAGATGATTTGACACGATGCTGTTACAGGCTAAAAGTAAAAGAGGCTCATCTGTGTCCGGTACCGGTCTGGGAGCTGGTTCCTGTGAACATTTTAACTCCTGGATGAGCTGATTACGCAGCTGCACCTGGGGATAAAACAAGTGAATGACAACGTAGCTTCTAATGCCAAGTTGGGCTAAAAAGGTTTAAACAAGGATATTTAGCTTACTTTGAGGGTATCAAGCACTCCTCTGTTTTTAAAAGTCTGATAAAGCCTTTTCCTCAGCTCTTCTGGGGACAACCCATCTTCCTTCGATGAAGACATAACTGCAGGGCTTCGCAGATAAATATCCACACAGCTGTGCACGTTAACGGAATAAATATTTCACCCAAAACAACTTTAAAAGTTTTGGCTATTACGTAGATTACAATTCTCGATCTATCAAGAAAAATTTATATCCAAAAAAATGATGAATGTTTGCCATTAAGCGGCCCGACGAGCAGAAGCGTATGCAAAGCATTTTAAAATTTACCAACCGACACGGGCGCACAAATATGACGTAACAAATATTGGTTAGTGAAAAAAAATGGTATTGTAAAATTTTTACAACATAATAGTAAATACACGTTATTTTGATAATATTCTAAAAAAAAATCTAAAATAATAAAGTCCTCGTGAAACATTCTTTTTTTCTTACTTATACTGTCGTCATCTTCATGCGACTGAAGTTTTAGTCTTCCAGGAAGCGACTCTAAAAGGTAAACAAAAATCGGTTAATCTTGAAATGTAGCTTTGCTTGCTCTATATTTTTCTCTCTTGTGTATGTTTTTCTTTTAAAGTCATTTTTATTACTGAACAACATTATTCTGTTAACCCGTTTGCTAAAAATTAGCCATCTAGCAACTAGCTTCTCTAATGTTTGTTATTTAACCATATATGTTTGTCTTTAATCGACTGCAGGTAACGTTTGATTTGATAAAAGGAGATCTAAACGATGTCGGGAAGTTTTTATTTTGTTATGGTTGGTCATCATGACAATCCTGTGTTTGAGATGGAGTTTTTGCCATCTGGGAAGCCTGAATCAAAGGTACTTCTGCTCAACTGATCATAATAAACTGTTAAAGTGACTTAATTGTGGGAAAATTGCACACACATATTAATCATAACTACGTTAATTAAATGTATTATCTTGAAATTATTTCTTTCTGTGACTACAGGATGATCACCGTCACCTGAACCAGTTCATTGCACACGCAGCGCTAGATTTGGTGGATGAAAACATGTGGCTGTCCAATAGTATGTACCTGAAAACTGTGGACAAGTTTAACGAGTGGTTTGTGTCTGCATTCGTCACAGCAGGACATATCCTTTTTGTGTTTTTTCTCTTAATTATTTTGTTTCTGTTTTAAAAACAACTGGAAAACGTTGAAATGTGATTGTACAACATAGAAATGTGTTATGTGAAACCACGTTTAAAGGCATAAAGAGTCTTATTTTTCCTAATAAAAGAAAAGTTATTCCCAGAATGTGATGGGCTGATTGATTTCTAGTTTCTTTAAAATAAACTACTTCATTATTGTAAACAATAAATATTCATCACTTTTTCATACTCATTCACATGTATTACTCTTGTAAGCTTTATATTCCTTAAATACCTGCCATACATATAAGGTTCATCATGCTGCATGATGTTCGACAAGAAGATGGAATCAAAAACTTTTTTAATGATGTGTATGACTTATACATTAAGGTGCGCCGTGCTTCATGTTTATAAAAAATCACTAATATGTTCTCCTGATCATTTGATATTTACTATTTTCTTTGTTTTTTCCTCAGTTTGCAATGAACCCCTTCTATGAAATCAATGCACCAATCCGCTCGACGGCGTTTGAGAGGAAGGTCCAGTTCCTTGGAAAGAAACATCTCCTGAGTTAATCGCTTTGAGCGGATTCAGTGTGACATTCATCTTTTTGTCGTTTTCCTTTTGTGCAAAACTTGTGTAAAAATGTTATTGTCAAAGTTGTGGCTACAACTATCTTTTGTTCATTTTTATTAAATTCTGACTCTTTGAACCTCTGACATTAGATCACTAGTTCTTCATGAGGAATGCTCTGTATCATGTCGGTGCTTACAGAGCAGAGTACCAAGACAAGTTCTTGATTATCCTTAGAACAATTAAATGAGTCATTATTTAGTTATCAGGCCACAAAACAAGCTAATCAGACAGTTATGAGGGTGTTTATTTGTCATTTAGTATATCAAGCTGACAACTTTATACATAACTAAAATGAGAAACAGTTAAGGTAAATAACTGGTTCACTTTCCAATCAAGTTGTAGCTCAAGTCTTCCAATTTGCATATATGACAAGAGTGCGGTTGGATTATTTTTAAATAATACAGCATTGAACAATGACATACGGTCACTACTTCATCACACTTTCATTAGAAGAAAAAGCTCCATAGTGCTTAGTCTTTTTATTTTTTGAAATGTTAGAAAAATAAATATAAAATGCAATTAAAAAGGCCATGCACAAAACATTTGGTGTTTATTTCTTGTATGGGGAATATGTCTTCATTTTTCTAACATAAAGCATCAATTGACATGCATAACATACAGACAAAACCTAATGTAGTCAATTCATACCTTTTAATGAACTGAAACTGGCTCACTGGCTTCTACAAATAATGTTTTACTTTGCAATTCAATGTTAATTATGTAAATATATGATTACCTGCTCCACAATGACATTTCAAGCATGAAGATCAAATTAAATAATCACACTTGTTGAATGTTTAACATCTGAACACAGAATGTACTTATTTTAAGAGGGATGTGAATCCTTTTTATGGTCAAACCTTCGGCCGACCCCAGTAGTTTTTAAAATGGAGCGAAACTAAATCAACAAGTTAGTGCTTTGAGTTTGTTAATAGACAGATTAATTTAGTGTTTGCTTTTCTGTTTGTTTTGGCAGAAGTCCAACAATGATCACCAAACCTTAAAAAAAATAATCAAAAGTGTTAGTAGCATAGTTTGTTACTACAGCAGTGTACGCCTACAGTCTCATGGCGTAACAGGGGTTTATTAGTGAAAGCTTCTGGATGTTAAGAACAGCAAGTGGTGGCAGAACGAGGCTTTCTGTGGAGCCTGACTGTGTCCGTGGAGATGAGGTAGTCTGTTTTGTCATCCATTGCTAACACTCTATGCACTGCTTCCTCAAATGCCACTGCTACATTAGTGGCATCCTTGGCACTGGTCTCATAATACGGGTAGTCCCCATTCTCCTGGCACCACTCCCGAGCCTCCTCCGAAGACACCTGCCTCTCAGCCACATCCACTTTGTTGCCCAAAACCACAAATGGAAACTTTTCCGGCTCCTTGATGTCGGCGTAGTAGATGAACTCTTTTTTCCAGTTGCTCAGGTTGAGAAAACTCTGGCTGTCGTCAACGCTGAAAGTGAGCAAGCAGCAATCAGAGCCACGGTAAAAAGGAGTTCTCAGGCTGCGGAAGCGCTCCTGGCCAGCAGTGTCCCAGATCTGCAGGGTGACCTTGTACCCGTCTACAGTAAGTTCTTTGTTTAGGAACTCAACGCCAATGGTGTGGAAAAGGTGGGCATCAAACTTGTTGGTGACGTAGCGATTCATCAAGGAGCTCTTTCCAACCCCACCGTCACCCAGCAAGATGACTTTCAGAGTGGATTTCTTCGCTGCCATGGCTATTGATTCCTAATCAACCACTTTGAAATGATTAACCTAATATAATAGAACAAAACAAAACATTGTCAAATTACCATTTAACTAGTTACACTGTAGAACAATCACACTAAGTATTCTCTTACCCCAGTTTGTTTTGACTGTCTCCACTTGTCCAGATCATGTGCTGTAAACCCCGGTGTTGGATCACATGTTCGTTTAATTGTTGATGCTGGCAGCCATTTAGATAACATTTAACCTGTCAAAACACAAAGGCAAGCTGTCATTTTCCCCGACAAAAATAAACAGTTCTGGGCAGAATTCCCTGAACGAAAGAACAATAAAAATCATAACAAAGCTTGTATTGTGATAAAGATGTAAAGGCTTGGCTTTGATACACAAACAACTTAACTATGTAAAATGCAGCATCTTGGTTGAAAGAATACCAAAGTTTAGCTAAACAGCTAGTTAGCTAGGCTAACTAGAAACAGCTTCATCAGGTTATAACAAACGAGCTAGCTCGGGTTCAGTCATGTTCTTATTTGCTTCTCGCTTACCTTGCAGATTGATTCTAACAGCTGCGGACCCAGTGATAAACAAGATGTAAAATAATGGAAATAATATAAATTCATTCGCTTGATAGCCACGTAAGGCCAAAACACTTCCTGGTTAGCGATTAAAGAAGCTGTTAGCTGCTAGTAACGAGCTCAGCTAGCTTCAACAGCGATAGGTCACGTGATCTAACAACAACTGTCAAAAAAGTCTCAAAATATAAAAACTTCGACATAAACGTTTTGTTTTTATTTTTTATTTATTTTATAAAACTTGTTCAAAAATACAGTCAATATTAACTTATTTAATATTTGATTTTCTAATGTTATGTCATATTTCACCACTAGAGAGCGACATTTAACAATTTTGTTAGCATTCTAACTTTATTACAAACATGTCATGAAGTATTACTTACCTTTGTGGCTCCACCACTAAAAATTGTATATATTGGAATTCATATTTAGCTGAATTCACATTTAGTTGCTGAGAAAGGTTCTTTCACAACGTTTAAATTCTAATAGTTCAACACCTAAAACCTGTATATTTAACTAATTAGCCACCAACATTATGAGTTTATTGTGCAGAGAAAAAGAAATAGACATTGTTAGAAAAACAATTTAATGTAACAATGCAGCATCATTTCACTACAAATTTCGTAACACTGGTGAACTGATAATTTGTGTTTTAACAATACAGCCTTCAAAAATCTGACACAACTATAATTTGAGCTATATTTCATCTAAGAATTCACATTACATTTTATTGGTAGTTACTTGACTTAAATCAGCACAATACTGTTAGCCCAACTGATAAAATGAGCTTGTCCACCTGTTCCTGAGGTCTGAGTTGCCTCACATGCACCTGTTGCACATATTTCTCCTCTTTTGACTGTGCTGTTGTGATTATTGGAGTACACAAATCTTTCATGAATGTCATTGTGGAGTCCTAAAAGACTGGACCTAGATCCTCTTGACAAGGACCTGAAGTCAATGCAACATTGTCCAGTCCTATCTCTCCTCCAACCCCTGTCCCACGCTGAGCTTCAAAGATAATCTGAAAGACATCCAGTGGTTATTGTTGCAAATTCAAGTTTCCAATTGCACATAAAACACATTTAATACTAATGTTTTGTGTCTAGAGTTATGTTATGTTCTCGTACTCGTCTCAGTCATTTTAAAACCATTCACTATGTTTTGCAAAAAGACTCACAGACTGGGGGGCTTCCTCCTTCCAGGCTACTGTGAGCAGCTCTGTCTGCCATCCCTGGTTTTTGCTTTGGCTCTGCTCCCATACTGGGTAAGCGTTGTTATCCAGCAGCACCCTGAGTGAGCCCACGTTACGGCCCACCATGCGGAAGTCAAAGGTGAGGCAGAAGCTGCCCTGCTGGGGCTGGTCACTGAGCAGCAGCTTTAGCCTGGCCACATCTTTTTCCTCTCCAAGCAGCCCACTCAACGCCATGTAGTACTCAGCATGGTCTGTAATTGCCAAATTGGTTTTAAACGGTTTTGCAGGTCTCAGAGTGATCATTGCAACTGTCATAGGAGTGAAAGTCTAGGCAACATTAGGTCTAACTAACAAGATAATTGATCTGCATGTGCAATATCACAGAAAAGATCAAATAGGTCAAATGCATTTAGCTTTTGTGGACCATGAATTCATGCAGAATGACGCTAACAGGGTTAATGTGCACTTCTTGTGGCAATATAATAACTGCAATGTGACTGGATATTTGCATCAATGGTCTGAGACTGAAACCTGGACAGTTTAGTAAATAAGTAAATGACACTTTATATATACATACATACATATATATATATATATATATATATATATATATATATAGATAGATAGATAGATAGATAGATAGATAGATAGATAGATAGATAGATAGATAGATAGATAGATAGATAGATAGATAGATAGATAGATAGATAGATAGATAGATAGATAGATAGATAGATAGATAGATAGAGATTACCTTTGTCACGATACGCCACGATCCAGTCCATGTCATCAGCCTTGTCTTGGACCCATTCACAAGCTCCCTGATCAAAGTTGCAGTCCATGAAATATTCTAGACAATTAAAAACAGTTGCAGATTTCTGATTATGTATGAGCAGTCCTTGGATAACTGAGATGATAAAACGTGTTAAAATACCTTCCTGAGGCAGTTCAATCTGGATTTCTTTGATTTCTGTGGCTGGACCAAAGACAGACTCAAAGTCTTCAGAAACTGTTCAGATAAAGTGAACAAAACTTTAGTTTATGAATGGATTTTCCAACCATGAAACATCCATCATCTTAACCAGCTTGGTCATGCTGGGTCGCGGGGGGCTGGTGCCTATCTCCAGCGGTCAATGGGCAAACACGCAGGGTACACTCTGACCGGCTGCCAGTCCATCGCAGGGCACACAGGACAACCCTCACACCTAAGGATGATTTAGATAGTCGTGTTTTCAGACTGTGGGAGGAAGCCGGAGTACCCGGAGAGAACCCACGCATGCACAGGGGGAACATGCAAATGCAGAAAAATCCCAGGCTGGGATGTGAACCCAGGACCTTCTTGCTACATGGCAATAATGCTAACCACTGCAGCCACCCATGTTGTTTTCAAAAAGCACAGTCAACAATATTTACTATTTTTCTCTCAATGGCATTCCCACATATTAGGATTATACAACTTTAATAATAATGACTAAATGCATAATAATTTTGTGTTTTTTTTAGTGAAATATTTAACTTTGTCATCACACCAATGTGAATGTTGTACACCGATTTTATTGAGACAAAAAGTAGAAAAGGGGCTTTTACCCAGCAGGTAAGGACCTGTCCTGCTGCTGGGGTCTTAAAATGGAGCTACAGCTTTAGGATAACCCCCCACCCTAGGCGTTTTAAAGACAGCAGCTAACCTCCCCCATGAGAAGGAGCACCCAGACGAGTGGCAGCTGGAATTACTGAACCCTCCACGCCAGAGTCGGCTGGTGTTGGAGAGGACTGGAGTGCTGATGACAGGCTTTTCCACGGGGAGGCAAGTCTTTTAGCACAACAGCTGTTTTGGGGAAAACATAATAAAAGGTTTGGGGGCACCTCACCCTCCTCCCTATAGGTATGGGAAGCAGGCACAAGGTGAATTTTATCCTCGGGCTCCCACATGCCAGAGGAGTAAAATTCCTCCATGGAGGCAGTGGATGGCTTAGGGCTTGTCTCCTCTTGCTCTCCCGGGTCGGGTCTAACACACACTTAGAGATCAAGGTCTCAGGTTGGGTTTCTTGTTTAAAGTGGAAAAAAAAAACAAAGTTCCAAATGACCTTTTGTGTGTTTGCATTTCCAGGTTCTAAGTGAAACGGTAATATTTCATTAATGTTCTACAGAGTGAAACAAGATTATGTTTTTAATACTTTCAGAAGCATAAAAATAATGTTTCAGATATTTCAAGTGGGTTTCTATGTAAAAGTAATTTTTTTTACTGGTTTATGTGGTAGCTTCTTGATGGACTTTGTTCATATAAATAAAGTTTATCTTCTACATGATTGATGAGCTAACAGCTAGTCCAAATACAGCCAAGGTCAAAGGCTGTCTAAAAGGAGTCATACACTCAGTATTTTAATATTTTTACTGTGATCTCCAGTAAGAATGAATGCTTTGAGAGTCGTTTTCTGTTGTGAAGAAGCTCTCGATCTCCTTATAACCCAGTGTTAAAATCACTAACAAGACTGAATACAAATTCTTTAAAAATGCCAATGAGATTAAAAGTAATCAATTAGGAGTTAAACTAACCTCTTTGCTTTTCTTTCTTAGGCAAATAGGCAACATTGATTAGTGTATCCTTTCAAATAACACAAGCCTAAATGAATTCCGCTATTTTGTGGCGGTGCTAATGCTAACGGTTAGCTTCTGCTTGCTCAGACGTGCTCTGCTCTCCTCTGGCTGCAAACTCATCCTTCTGTGGTCACGAGCCAAGATGGGCGAGGCAGTAAATGCATATTTCACCAATGAAGTAGATCTGTCTGATTTTTTCCTGACCTGAGTGTTTCCCCGTTTATTTTCTTTCTGCGGCTAATGCAGGAAATGGAGTTGAAGACAATTCTCTCATTCAGCACGCTACTTAAACTGATGAATCATAATCCAAAAACAACAAGTATCACCCCTACATAAAGTCGAAAGCATCAGCGTCATTGAATGGCAGCAGCGTGATTTACTTGCGAGTTTCGCCATGTGCCGGTACACACCGGGACAGTCTCAGCCATGAGGCAGCTTCTCCACCGTGCTCCTCGCTGGATTCACAAGATTACAAAATTCCTTCAAAGGACACGGTTTGTTTATGCCATTAAACCAACAAGAAGGAAATCGTGTTTGATATCGCTGTTTGATGTAATTTATGATGTTATTTCTCTCCACTGCCAGGATCAAGGCCACAAAAAACACACCGTTGCACTTTTCGAATGATGCGGGGAGTAAATTATCTGTGAGGAGTCCCAATTCTGATGTATAGACGTAATTTACATAGATATAAAACTGCATTGCTGCAACAAACTTTAATTTAAACAATTCCCAGACATTTTACACTGAAACCATGTGTGATTTCCTGTCTAAATCTATGTTAACTGCAGATTGACATGTCGCAGAAGCGGCTTGTGGCAAAAACAGAATTCCATCCCATTTTTTTGCTGCTTCTGGGACACGACTGAAAATTTCCTTAGTGCGGCTGGTTTGAATCACCCCCATAGACTATAACGGATTCTATTTGAAGCAGTGACGTTCCGTGCCGCTGATGTTTCCAGTGTAAAGTAGGTGAAACAGTTCCTCTGTGAACTTCACCATAACTATTCATGAGTACCAAGGGTGGCTTGACCATAGGGGGCACTAGGGCGCCTCCCCACCAATCAAATCGAATTGAATCAAATCAAATCAAATCGAAGAAGAAGAAGAAGAAGAAGAAGAAGAAGAAGAAGAAGAAGAAGAAGATATAAAAGTACATGAAAATGAAACAAAACAATCTACCATAAATCCTCTAATACAGGCCCGGGCCTGTATTTGACTCAAGCTCATCAAGCTCCAGGCCTTTATTGGAAGGAGGACCAGAATTAGAGGCAGGCCTCAATTTCTATTTGAGCAAAATTAACTAATGGTTCGCTGGAGTTTTTGACAATTAAAGTTGCGCCCACATTTTCAAAGTTAAACACATTTCTTTTAACAACGGTAGTTTCTGCTTCAGTCCTCTCCCCCTCCCCCTGCGCAGCAGCCACAAACTCACTGATGCGCCTGCAGCCTCTCAGAGTTCGTGCTGCTGTAAACATTAAAATAATGATTTCATTTTCTGTTCCTCACTTCTGATTACCTTCAATGGTGTCTGTTTGTTGCAACCACCAGGTACAAAAACTAACTTGTTTTTATTTGACTTTTTCTGTCCTGTCTGTTTATTATCTTCCTGCATCTCCTCTCAATCCTAAAGAAAAACTGCTGCCTGGGTTCATATATATTCGCCTTATGAGTTACCTTTGAACTGCAGTTCTAAAAGATCTACCGACCGCAGAAACAGCGGAGTGCTCGCCGGCCACATCAGTTAGGTACGTCACCGAGGACAAAACAGGTGATGCGCCCCGATCCACAGCAGCGAAAGGCATCCGGCACAAATAAAAGAATAAAAGACAGAAAACATAAAAGGAAATGATCCGACATGAACGATCGCGTGTTAAATTAGGTTTTGAGGTGGTGACACCTGATTTGATAATGTTACTGTGGCCGTGCTCAGGACGCAGATGTCTGGAGCGCGTCAACAATCAGAGCTTTGCATGTGCAAGCTGGTTAAGGTTAGGATGGGGGTGAGGGGAAGGTTAAATTGCAAGAGGGTAAACGTCACAATTTGGTTAAATGTCCGTTTTACGGCGGGTGTCGGTACCGACGCTCTGGCACAGCGCGTTGCCTCCCGATGCACAGGAGCTTGCCACCTGCTGACAGCAGGCTGCTGTCTTTTCCGTGGACTGCATCTTGCCGGTCATTATCACGTGACAGCGACTAGTCGATGACAGGCATAAAAAGTCACTATAGAGCGGTGAAGTCGACTAGTGACTAGTTCATACAACCCCTGCTACTGCTCCCCAGAATGTTCTGCAGCATAATCAGCACGTTCTCTTTGAACTTGATATCAAATTTTCGCCTTCTCTTTGTCTCCGCATGGTTAAAGTTACCCTCGCGGTCTATCACTGGCAAATCAAGAGTGAGACGGATGACACAACCGCCCCCTGTACTTGCTTGTTACGACATTCCACCCGGCCACAATAAAAAACCTGCCATTATTCACCTCCGCCGACTCCGACACCGGCCAAAATATGATACCCGGCAGTTAATTAAATACAGGCTAATATTAGAGAATTTACGGTATACATCATACAGACTATAAGCACCGTGTTTAATCTGCATCTCATTATAGTTTAAAAATGTTATTTACACTTTTACCACTACCAAATCATCTTGTGACATATTTTCCATTACTTTTGGGCGCAGCAGTCTCTACCACAGACCTATGCTAACTGGTGCATGCACGCTGGATCTCCCCTCCAATACAAAGAATAGGAGAGCCTTTGGGTGAAGCGGAGGGGTATAGCAACCGTGAAGACATGCACAGAAGACTGGCAGGGCAGAGTCTCAGCCCAGGTCATGACAGAACCAGAAACTCTCAACAGTTCATCATTCTATGTTGTTTTAGTACACCTCGTGGATGTTTGTTTTATTGTGAAGAACCAGAAAATGGTGAAATGTGGCATTAAGAGACTTAAAAACACCCTTCAGCTGGTAAAAGTTGGCCATAAATCAGCTCAGTGTGACGTTGGGACACAAACCAAGCGTTATTTTTACTATAACATGGATTTTTATGACCAAAAATTAGCAAATGTAAGACATAATTTACGATTTAGACTTCATGACATTAGCTTTGTTAGCTTAGCTGCTGAGTTCCTTGAGTTTTGCAGGTAGAGTAATGGTACTTATATTGTTATAAAGAGGAGAGTCTGGGCTTTAATTGAAACAGCTCTTTCTGTTGATAGGATCCTAACACATCGTTGCTACTGTGCGTTTTTCTCAATATGAACATTTAGCTTTTTTCAACTCTTTCATTGGGTGTTGAGGTAGAAAATGTGGATTCTACCATAAGAATGGAAAATTGGCATCCCCTAGTGGTGATTTGTGGTCAGCGCATCTAAAGACAGCATAAAGGCACCCCACCAAAAAAAGAATTAACCAGCCACCACTGATGTATGCAAAGTCTCACAGAAGTTACTGTGAAACTTTATTCCACACACCCACCCACAAGCCCCCTTCTTCTTGAAGTGAGAGCAAAATCTCAGCTAAACAAAAATGCACTCACCGAAGACATCTCCTCTTGGATTTAGACTATTTTCTTCCTCTTCCCCTTCCTCCTCTTCTTCTTTAGCTGGATACTCATTTTTTCCTTCTTTTGTTCGGGTACCGACGTAGACCTCTCCATCGTAGTCAAAAGGTTGATGGCGGATCCTAGGATGTGGCGTGGCGACTGTTTCTGGGATGAGGTTTTTGATGTCCTCGTTACTCAGACTGCCTCCCAGAATCTCAGGCCTCACTTGGGAGTCCGGGATGGCTGCAAGCAGGAAAAGAAATCAGCAAACGCATACGGATCCTCGATTTTTAAAAAGCATTTAACCAGAACTCAGACATTTTTCTTGCTTGTTACTTCTACCAGATCACAAATCAAATATCAAAAGAACATGCTTGAACCCTTTAACTGCATGCGGATTAGAATGACTGAACCAGTACAACGTAGATTAAATGCAGCAGCTTATTGTCATTTAGAATCTGTCATGCTGAGGATGCATGGAGCTGCAGATGGGTGCATGAACGTGGCGTTGCAGGACGAGGCTGAAGCTGGTTTCCACACAATCTCACCATTGATGAAATTATCCGCACTGCCTTTGTCGCCATCCCACGGTCTCTGATAAAATGGTTTGGCTAAAAAAAATAAAAGCATTCTCATTTACACAGAAACCTCTGTCCTACAGGCAGTCTTCAGCTGTTGTTATTTAATTCTGGCTCAAAGAGTTTGTATGTTTCTCTCGTTTTACTTCAGAGGGCTGCAGCTAGTGTCATATTTACACAGGTGCGTTTTCAGTCTGTCTCTCTAACATCTGTGGAAGAGGAGCGGAGTCCAAAGGCAGGAAACTGACGTTGGCAGGTTTCCAGAGCACTGACAGAGTCCAAACTAAATCTGCAGCTGTTCACGTCTTCCTGACATATTTGATGGATATCTTTGATCGGGAAAAGGTCTCACCTGTATGTTTTTGTTTCTTTTTAGCTAAAGTTTAAATGCACCTGTAAAAGTAAATGGTTTTATAATTCTGTGCAGCAGATGTTCGGTCTCACCGGAGCACTCAAAGCCGTTGCCTCTGAAGCCAGACTTGCACCTGCACTTGTAGGATCCCTGAGTGTTCAGACAAACGGCGTGGTGGCTGCACTTGTGGGTTCCAGCTGCACACTCATCCACATCTGTAAAACAACCCTATTGGTAACTACAGAAGACAAAGTTGTATGTTTCACCTTGAAAACCTTGTAGACTTCACCTTGACAGTCGTATTTGCCGTTTAGATATTTCAGATCGTAGCCGTCTTGGCACTTGCAGTAGTAGCTGCCGAAGGTGTTCACACATTTTCTGTTGTATGGGCAGAGGTTCTTCCCAGTTATGCATTCATCAATATCTGAAATGAAGCAAACCGTGGCCGAAAAGTTAGTTATTTACCTGTAAACTTATACACTCAGTAATTTGTCTACTGTGAGTTTCAGTATTTCACGTTGGCAGAATGAGAAGAAATATGATATACAATAAAATCAGAAACAATTTATTGTCCTTTAAAACGTGCACTAGAGACACAGAGTGGTGTTTTTGTCATTTCTGTACATTAGTTTTGTTGTAACTCACATTTTCCTGGAGACATGTAGCACATTGTGCACAGCAGTACCCCTGAACTAAAGCATAAACACAATTTTAATGACCACCTTAAACATTTCATCAGAGAAAGCAGAAGTCCTACTTAATATTTGATATTCACGGACACGTTTCATTCTTTTTGTTAAAACCTATCAATAAATGACTTTATTATTATAAAAAAATTGTTTTTGTTGTTTTCATATTTTATGCCTAATGTGAGTTTAACCAGCCCTGTGATGGACTGGCTCTCTGTCCAGGGTGTATCCCGCCTACTTGCCCATTGACTGCTGGAGATAGGCACCAGCCCCCCCCCCCCCCCCCCCCGCGACCCTGCGTGGACGAAGCGGGTTCAGAAGATGGATGGATGGTGAGTTTAACCAGGCCCACTATATACCCTCATATATAACTGATTTGGTGTAAATCTACACTTCCAAACGCTGCCTGAGATCAGAAGGTCGGATGTTCCTGATGGTTCCAAAAAAAATGCAGAAAACTTGTCCAAACAAAAAGTTTACAATCAAGAGACTTGTGGAGGTTTAATCGGGGACATTTTCTGCACTTGTTCTACAAACGTGTTTTTTCTGAACAAACTGGGATGACCTAACTCAAGCTCACATCTCTGTGATGCTGCAGGAAGACCTGCTGTCTGTGTGCTCCTGGCATTCCAATGAAGTCATCCATCTACAAAATGGAAGCTTTACGATATACTATACCATTCTTTATTTGTATAGCACTTTTAAAACGTGGTTGACCAAAGTGCTTTGCAGCACAAATACAAAATGTTAAATAAAAACAATAAAAGCAAAAAAGAATCAAATGTAAAACTGTCGATAACTGAACTAAACACCAGTGAGTAAAAGTACGTTTCAGACGCAATTTAGTGACAACCAGCAACAGCTGGTCAGCTGACCGAGAGGGGACTTGAGGCAAACTGGAAAAGTAAACAGGTGCCAAATCATTTAATGACTTAAAGGGGTGGTTCACTTGTTTAATCAATACATTTGCAGTGGCCTCTAGTAGGAATGAATGTCAGTCAAACAAACTCTAAAATGTAACGAGGCAGGACTGGAGTGGTATGCTCAAACGTTCTTTTCCTGCAGCGTTTTGCATCCTCGTGATCGTAAACAATTCCTGAAAGACTTTCTTTTCCCCGAGAATAATTATTGATGGGATGTGTATGCAGTATGGTACACTAATTAGTTGTTTAATGTGCATTGTGAGAATCAGTGACCATGCCAAAGAAGGTTTATACAGTATTACTATTATTATGGCTTTGGAGGATGAAAAAGTGCAAGTGGTCCTCGTGGTCTTCTGGACAAGATCTTTATACTCAATGTTTATTTTCTTTAAATGAAATCAGAACTTGAACTCAACATGTGGCCTCAAAGAGTTCTAATGGTGGCTGAAAATTGAAGTAGGCCTGCAGTCATTGTTTATTTTTATTTTTTTCAGTTCGATGCTGAGCAGACACTCTAGATTGAACTAAGATTGAAATTTTCTGTAAACAGTCAGCCTGCATCTGTCTCATTAGGGTTATCTTTTCTCTCTGCAGCACATCTGGACTTCGTTATTTTTTGGTATTTTTGAAACCAAATGTTGATGATGATCTTCTCAGAGGCCGTCGTGAAATATGATCTGTTGATCTAGTGTGTTACTACCCCCCCCCCCCCCCCCCCCCCCCCCCCCCCACCAATGATGGTTTGGCTCAGCTTGAGCAGTTTTTGCGGCAGGAAATAAAACCTAACAGCATCCGTGACTAACAAGCCTTGGAGGCTAACGCTACAACCTTTTATAGTTCATGTTCGTTCTCGTTTTTTTTTTTTTTTTTTCTTTAAATCAGAGCAGTTTGATCATGATGGTCGGGTTTGTAATTGTGCTTGACACGTTGAGCTCACCTACGCATGTTCTTTCGTCTTGACCCAGTTGGAGACCTGCAGACGGGCAAAGGCAGCGGATTTCCCCTTCCACTTCCTCACAGCCGTACTGACAGTGAGCCAGGGAGCAGGTCCTGGAATCTGCACGCACAAACCTTATTTATTAAACCACTTCTGCTTTTTTATTAGAGTAAAGTGCTGCACAAAAGAGACGTACTGGCACATGACCCATCAGGCATCAACATGTATCCATTGAGGCAGTAGCACATGTAACTTCCGTGGGTGTTCATGCAGCGATGCTCGCAAGGACGAGGCTTCAGGCCGCACTCGTTCAGATCTGGAAATAAACAGAATCACTTCCTTAATTCAAGGCAAGTGTTGGATTAAATACAGTAATGCAAAATAAGATTCTGATCTCCCTCTAACCCTTGTTTCCCTCCTCGCTGATCCCTTTCACCCACCTTGATTACACGTCTTTCCGGTGTATCCAGGGAAACACTTGCATTTGTTGGGGCCGACACACTCACCGTGCTTGCAGCCGTGCTCGCACTGAGCTGGTAAAACATTCAACATGAAGAAAAGTACCACCAGAATTATTAGTGGTGGAGACTGATGGACCACATTCAAACCACACATTTCTATTATTCAGGCATTTCCTCCAAATCTGGGAAACCTGATGAAAAACATAAGAACGTGCCGGGTTTCCAGACAGAACCTTCAGATTTGTCTCTGTAACTATTTTCAATAGGTCAAAAAGTCTTTTAGAAGATAAAAGCGTGGGGAAAAAAAAACAGTAAATTAGGTCATTTCTTACCCTCACACTGCCCTTTATTGTTTTTCTTCCAGCCATAGCAGCACTCCAGTCTCCTCCCGTAGCGGCACACACCTTGTTGGTTTCCAGAAAGAACTTGTCGGTAATGTCTATACCAGACAGAAAAATAGGTCCAGTCATTCATTTTACTTATTATTCTCTCTTTTTAGAGGATTGATCATGCAATTAAAAACTGGATTTATATAAAATAAGAAAACTCATTCTCATTTACAACAATGATCTGGCCAACAGGCAGCAGCAACCGACACAAATTATTAGCTTTACATCAAAGAAAAACAGATAAGATAAAAAGGAACAAGATCAAATGAGATAAAGCAGTTAGACAAAAAGACAATGGACTGTTCTCATATACAATATGTACAGTACAAGCAATCAAAACAGACTTAAAAAATCTTAAGAAGCAGGCACAGTGATCAGAAATTGTTGATTGCAAAGAATTATTGAAGGTAGATAATGTAGAATGTAGGTAGTGAGATTCAGTGAGTTTTGCTGCTTATTCCATTTGTTGGAAGCAGCAAACTGGAATGAGGAGTGACCAAAGGAGGTGGGAGGTGCAAGTACACTGGACTAGGTAATTATGTGTTGGAGCTACTAATGCATACAAAGTAAAATACACTTAGTAACACTAAGTAGTATTTTAAACTTTAAGCTAGAGCTTTAACATTGATTTCATATTTGACACCACCCTGCCAGATACTGCACTTAACAGTTTTGTGGAGTGGGTAGGTGTTCTGGGGGTGCTCTTATACATGCATTACGGCAGTTAGCTTTTTCAGTTTTCTGATCGTCAATAAAAAGCACAAGAAGAATGAAAAGAAGACGTTTGATTTTCTGTTGGCATCGTGGCAGAGCCTGGAAGTAAAAGTAAGACAGTAATGTCTTTGGAAGCGAAGCAAAGAGCTAGAACCAGCGTAAACATTGGCGTGTCCTACACTAGTTTGAGAAAGCTGAAAAAGGCTATGAAATCACAGGCTGATGGTGACCTGGCTTTGTTGCTACTGGACTTGTAAGTAATGTTATTGTTTGTCTAACGGTGTGGATCTTTTTGACTTGTGGCTTATTTAGTGAAATTTGGTTCATGTTAGAGTTAGCTCGTTGGTAGTGCTAGCTGTAGCAGGCTGCTGCAGAGTTGTTCAACCAGTAGGGCGAAGGAGTAGAAAACTGCTCTGTGTTACTTTAAAGGTAAGATACTATTACTAAGACAATCTAGTACACCAAACCATAATTTGTTTACAGTTTATTACTGCTGGACTATAAACAACTCAAAAAAACTAGTTCAGTAAACAAATTTCTAAATACTTTGTACCACTTTGTCTTATTAAAGGTTGAATATGGAACAATTTAATAAAAAATACATATTAAAAAAAACAATACCCCCACGATGCATTCAGAGATGTGCAGAATGAAAGTACAGTGTTTCCTTTAAAAGCTATATAAGAATATTAATTTAACATTTATTTAACGCTGGGCTTATGCTTTCATCTACCAGCCAGTAGAGGGCACCAATGCAGGTTGCCAAACAGTCTGCTCGGCACAGCGAGACTGGCACCATTTAAAATGGCGGACTCGGCAAGTCAAGCAGCTGCTTCTGAGCCCAGAAGATGTCATTATCCTTCTCAGAAGAGGAGCAAGCATAAAAGATCTAAAACCAGAGTGAGTTTAGGTCAAGCCTACAACAGATGGACCCAAATAAAAAATGTCACATATCGGCAGCGGACCTGGTATCCTGACAGCTGGAAACCTTGTTCTATTGTTGCAACTACAACCTCCACACACTAGATGTCACTATGGTGTTCGTGTTCCATATTCAACCTTTAACGTAACTTTTAATCAACTTCAGTTTACTTTGTATCCATTAGTAGCTCCAACACATAATTACCGTGTCCAGTTTACTTATAATTTTTAGTGCAATAGCTGCATGCTTTTTTCAAGTAAGCAGAACTGATCCAATTTTACAGTGTATTGGTTATTTTCTATTATTATTTTAAATGGCACGACAAATAGCAGCATGAGCTAGATGTAGCATGTCTGGTTGAGTCTGGTATCTGTCCAGCAGGAAAATCCTCATATATCAAATTACAAAATTGACTATAGTGTAAAAGTTCAAAGACCAAAAACCAAACACAATGAATAAAATGTGCTTTTAAAAATTTGAAGTTTTAATTAAAACTCCAATTAAACAGTTTCCCTAAAACTGGCTTTCCAAAAGTGATCAACGTGTGACAAATTGTTAAGATTGCTTTCATCTCTCCTTTTACTCAAACACCTAGTAATGAATGGAGGCTCTGAAAACAAACAGCCCATATAAAGTGTCTCCTCTCAGGCTTGTTTAGTGATAGAAGTAGGGGTCCCTGTGGAGAAGCAGCCAGCTGACAGGATGTAAGCTACAGATGGAGAAACACACAAACCAGATGCTCTTCACTGATGCACGACTCTTAACCTGGAACTTTTTGGTAATCTTGTGTCAGAACTCAAATGCAAAACTAGAGTCAGATTATTTTAAAGCTACATTTAAAGAATCCACATTACACCCAAAACAACCAACAAGAAACACAGACTGCATTACAGGAAGTGCATTTTTTGCCAGTTAAATTATAAGCGAAGAAATGTAAGAATGCAGCTTTCTGCATCATCTGTACCTTAAGGCTTAAACTTTCATGTCCCAGAAGGTTGGGCTCCAGTTGGACTGGAGGAATCTGAGACTTGGTAGAAGTCAACAGGAATAGCTCACTAAGAAGGAACTCGTCAGAGTGACAGGTGCTCTTTGGGTTTTAACAGTTGCTGTGCCAGATTTAGCAGACACTCATCGTCCTCTCAGCAGAGCACAAAATCCTCAAGCATCACTTAAAATTTACATGAATTTTTCTCTGATTGCACCCTCTGCAACAATCTGAATTCAGTTTAGTATTGATTCTTTAGTTTTGACCATCTGCTGCAGGGGTCGCTGACTTACCTGTGGGCTTCTGAGCTTCCAGACGAGATGCAGAGCAGGAGAAAAAGCACACAGATCAAAGTAAGCAGCTGCATGTCTGACACCGTGAGCAGCCGTGCTGCTGTGATTCCCTGGAGACTGACTTTGCTCGTCCCAGAGGTTTACTCTCAATAAAAAGCATAAACCGGAGCAGATCTCAGTCGATCTTCATGTGTTTTCGTCTTCCTGCAGAGTTGAAGCAGTCTCCCCCTTTTTCCCTGTGCTGCAGCTACACCCTGTTTCCCATAATCTGCTTCCCTTTCTTTTACCTTCTGAAATTCCAGAGGTGGGTTGACGCTCTGAGAAATGATACTGCTCTGAGACAGAAAGGTGGTGACTTCTGGAGGTAGGAGTGGGTTTGGAAGTTGGGGGTGGGGATTTTCTTTGGGGTGTTCCTTCCAGACCACATGAAACATTTCAGGAAACAGCAGGAAAAAGCATTTCGTTTTGCAAATGTCAAAGTCAGGGAAAAAGGCTAAGATGAACTTTACATGCATCTGCTTATTTACGACCCAACTTGGCAATTGCCTTTATTGAGCAATGTCAGTGAAGTCAGACAAACGTGCAGAGGCCTGTCATTAGAAGCAGCAGCGGCACTCTTTGATCCCCCACTGGGTTGCACGTAGAGCTTTGTTGTCTCACACGTGTTTATTCTTAGTTCTGTTGTAAATGAGTTTAATGAGTTAGTGCACTTCTTCAAACCTGCTCTACAGATCTTGTTTTGCCCGTTAGCTCCGTTAAACACGAGCAGCTCATGTTTCTGTAAAAGCTGCAGGATTTACTGTAAATTTCTTGCAGAAAAGCTCTTTTTATGTTTAGTCTGAAGAAGATAATTTAGCTGTTGCTTCAGTCTGCATCATTTACACTCTGTCATCTGTTCGGTTCTACTCCAGGAGAGGACGCTTTATAAATGGAAGCCTGTGGTTAAATACTGAGTGAGGGAGATTATTCTACCAGACATTCAGCTCATACTCGTGTCTGGAAGGAAAAACCCTAAAGCGTGCTTCTTTCTGCTTTAGGTTGATGTTATCATTGATGCCATTCACAGTTGTTTCTTCAAATCAATAGGACAGAACTCTCATGAGGAGACCGGTATTCCAACATTTGCAAATTCTCAGCACCTATCAAAACGACTTCACTCTTTGTTGAAAATTTCCCATGTCCTGGTCTGAGTAAAATCTCACATGATGAAGAAATGAACAAATCGACATTTGGTAGAAGTGGAAACTAGAACATAAGAAAAAGAAGAGCTTGATCAAACGCATCTGCCACTGGAAAAACCTACAGAAGAGGAACCCAAATACGTAGATCGGATATCTTCAATCGACAGAACTTTAGAATAAAAGCAAGGTATGATGATTAACCCTCTGGAGGCAGGCGTTGCAGATTTGCAACAGTTAAAACCTGCCTGGTTTCTCCACAAACGTATTTCATGAGCATTTTTTAACTCAGAAGTACCCCTGAAGGACTTAGTTGTTTGTCCTTTTATCAAAACTTATTTTGAGCCTGAGAGGGTTAAAGAAGCTCAAATGGTTACCTTGTTGAAAAATGACGGGGATGTTGGGCATATAGACAGGTGGTCAGATGCCGAATAGAACCCTGACCCTAACAAAAACAGTTGTTGTCACGTTGCGAGCCAGGAGGAGGATCTTTTTAAAAACTCCGGCCAAAGTGAAGATCTTCGTTTTCTCCGTTTTGGCAGGGGAGTGTCCAGGGAGTGGCCTGGGGTAGCACATGCCACCCTTGGAATCTGATTGGCCACCCCAGGTGCCACCACACTAATTTACTTTTAAATAGGCTTTTCGTTGTCCACAAATGGCTTGGGGGTAAAACGAAAAAGCATAACCATTGGTGCCACCCATGCACAAAGCTGTGCCTCACCTGGGCCACCCCATTTTAAAAGATCTGGACACGCCACTGCGTTTTGGGTGTCTGCGTGTGGACAAACAAAACCGGAGTTTTAAGGTCCGCAACGTCACTTTCCACGACAAAAAAATGCTGACATCACGTGTGCGACCTGTGTTTACACTAGCCGACAGCATGGATGCCCTCAGAGCTGCGCTTGCTTTATCAATTGTCCAAGCGCTTTTTGCTTGTTTGTTTTTGCAAGCGGAATTACTGCTCCTAGCGGAAGACCACAGACGAAGGACGAGGTTAAGAACGGGGGAAGTACTGCCGCCTACAGGTCTGGCATGTCCTTAACAACGTATTTATCCGGGTACGTGTGGACAGAGTTTTTTTAAAACGAGGTGGTGTGGATGCAAGTTTTTGGAGGGACGGATATTTGTTAAAAAAAAAATTCGGCTACGTGTGGACTAGGCTTGAGACGCAGACAGGGTTATATACACAAGGGCTGGGTGATTAGGGAATTGTGCACAGGTGAGACTAATAAACAGAGAGGAGGAGCACAACGGAGCAGGGGAGGAAACCAGACCTAAAAATGGGGAAGGGAGCAACATGAACGAAAGGGAGAATACTGACTAGATAATCAACACTAACAGAAGACTAGTGATAAGTGAGGTGACTAAGGGAAAACGTGAGGGAAACCTAGCGAGAACCTGGAGGGGAGAGGGGAACCACAAGGACACTGAAACCTAAGGGGAACACCTAAGGGAAAAATCCCAGAGTGGGCTGGGGAGCACATGAGGAGGGATGCAGACAAGGAAACACATGAGGAACACAAGGAGACACATAAGGGGAACCTAGAGAGGGATGGAGAACACAAGGAGACACATGAGGGAGACGCAGAAGATGACAGTTGTAGCTTTAAAATGACTACTGCTAAATTATTCAAAAGAAGCTGAAATATTAAAACGTGTGAATGAGCTGACAGATTATAACAAGTATTTAATAATATTTAATGACATATTTGACTATGAAAACTACTTATGCATCTGCATGGAACTTCTGGATGAATTTTTACTTAAATACATTAAAGACGAGACGGTCCTTTTAAACTGTCTGAAATCAAAACAATTGCCAAGCAATTACTGTCAGCGCTGAGAGCTTTAAAGAAGCTTGGAATTATTTACGCAGACACGAAGCCTAAATCATGCTTGTTAATCATGAAAAAGTCGATGGATATTGGTTTTTCTGTTGCCGACACAGATATGTAAGTGACGCGGTCAGCCGATGGCCGATATGTACAGCTGATTTTCATGGCCAAAATCTATAGATTTTCCACCTTATCAGTTGATGCACAATCGTTCTGAAGCTGAATCAGTTTTTGAACTCTGAAATTCATTAACTGTTCAATTTGAACTTTGTGTACTGCTCAGTGTTAAAGTCAGACACCTAAATAAAATTAATTTAGAACATTTATTTTGCAGATGTTATTAGAGAGCATAAAAATAAAATTGAATAAATCCTTCAACAGCAAAAAGCTGCCCGGAGATGTGCCTGACTCTAAGGACAAATATCAGCTGATATATAAAAAATGGTAATATATCCACCTCTGTTTACTTTCTTTACCCATTGACAACAGCAAGGAGTTTAGTAAAACACCTAGAATTCAATCAGCTGGAAATTTTATGTAAAATAGATGGCTGCCACAGCTAATCACAAAAATGACTTTAACTCGTTAAGTTTTACAAATACTGATGACTCACGGCCTGTTCAGCGTGACACCCACCTTTACCTGGTGAAAAAGTGGAAGAAATGGTGGCTGAAAGTCACTCGCAACACATATGAGTGCCATCAGATCACTCAAGATCTTGGCTCATGCATGATGTCATTTTCAAGATTTGACAGTAAAAGCTACAGCTTTTCATTCCCCCACATGACGTCATCTTAATTAAAACCTCAGAACGCTTCAAGGCTTTTTACCGAGTTATTTTCATTTTCTAAACTGAAGTAAAAGCTGATTTATTCTGTCTTGCTTTTTTCTTTTCGGTCACCAGAGGTCTCTCTCGGCATGAGTTGTGACTGGAGTGAGTTTAAACTTCCTGAAGGAGTGAACAGTTGTCGCTAAATAGAATCTGATTAGTGGCTGCAGCGACTAATCAGAGGGCTTCACTTCTCCCTAAAGAAACAAAGCAACGAGAACAAAAATGAAGCATTTTGTTTTTCTGTAATTTGAATACAGTGAGGCTAGCTCTTCACTTCCTAAAGCTCACTCAGGCTAACACTTCCCTGTCATTGGCTGATGTGAGAGAGACATCATGCATCTCAGCCTAATTCTGCAACATGCATCATCGTTTCTTTGGATTTAATCACTGTGAGCAACGAGCCATGGCTTTACTATAAAAGGAGAGACGAGGAGTTATTTTGAAAGTGATGCTCAACCACATCCTGCTTTAACAGAGACGCTAATAAGATCAATGTGCTGCAGACGACACAAGCTGCATCGTTCTCAGACTGGATGGTTCCCTGTTTTGAGTTTGGTTCCGAGCCAGGCACACGAGAAACAGCTATGTTTAACTCTTATTGTTTTGCTTCCTTTTAAACCAGCTTCAGCGAGAACCATTTCACAATGCCGGTCTTTCTGAAACGACAAATACCCTCCAAAGTTCCTCCACAGTTCGGGGAAGTCAGCTGCAACTTCCACATGCAGTAATAGAAGTGGATGGAAACCCATTTTGTGTGTGATCGTGTTCTCACGTTGAGTGCCATGCAGAGCTTTTGAGTTAAAGCTAGAAGAGACAAAAAGGTCAAACCCAGCGTTCATCTGCACGGTTAAGAGTGCTAAAACATTTATGCAGAATCATTTCAGCCCAGGACAGAGTAACTCACCAGGTAGCTGCAGCTGAGCAGACCTGGAGGCGTGCATGTTTACACACACGCACACGCACGCACACACGCTCTTTTGGCTGCTCAACATGATGAATGCAATGAGCTTATTTTTGACTGTTTCTGCAGCTGGACTCCTCCCGCTCTTGTCTTGTTAATAATGCAGGAGCAGTTGTGCAGAGGCTGCTGTAGGAAGGAGGTCCTAATGAGGAAGCATTGGAGCTCTCCAGGGTCGGTAGATTGCTCATAATTATTCATTGCCTGATCAGAGACGTTACAGTTCCCCGGTTCTCCTGCAATAGATGCTGGCATTAATCTTCGACTGCATCCACAACGCTGAGATTTTAATAATCTATTATACAGTTAAACTCGTTTTAAACAACTCAAACACAATGTTGTACACGTCTTTGTGAAAGCAGCCTTTCTTTGCGGTTAACAGGAAGTTTGCTTGTGCACTTCCTGTTTTTAGACAATCAGGTCAAACAGACACACATAAACACTTGGAACTACCTCTTACTAAAGTTCTACATTGAGTGTGTTTGTTAGCAAAATAACTGGGAGCACAACCGATTCACTTTTGGGGTCAAGCACACAGGGGCGCCTCCAGAAA